TCCTCTCTGAGGTCAGCGAGAGCCGCCTGAAGCAGCTCAACCTCAACCATGAGTGGACACCTGAGAAACTTCGGCAGAAGCTGCAGCGCAACACCAAGGGCCGGCTGGAGCTGGCACTCTGCATGCTCCCAGGACTGCCTGACACTGTCTTTGAGCTCCGTGAGGTGGAGGCACTCCGGCTGGAGGCCATCAGCGATATCACCTTCCCCCCAGGCCTGTCACAGCTGGTACACCTACAGGAACTCAGCCTGCTCCACTCTCCCGCCAGGCTGCCGTTCTCCTTGCAGATCTTTCTGAGGGATCGCCTGAAGGTCATCAGCATCAAGTGTGAGGAGCTCCGCGAGGTGCCCCTCTGGGTGTTCGGGCTGCGTGGCCTGGAGGAGCTGCACCTTGAGGGGCTCTTTCCCCCAGAGTTGGCTCGGGCAGCCACCCTTGAGAGCCTCCGAGAGCTGAAGCAGCTCAAGGTGCTGTCTCTTCGGAGCAATGCCGGCAAGGTCCCAGCCAGCGTGACTGACGTGGCTGGCCACCTGCAGCGGCTTAGCCTACACAATGATGGGGCCCGCCTGCTGGCCCTTAACAGCCTCAAGAAGCTGGCAGTGCTACGGGAACTGGAGCTGGTGGCCTGTGGGCTGGAGCGCATTCCCCATGCCATCTTTAGCCTGAGTGCATTGCAGGAACTTGACCTCAAGGACAACCACCTGCGGTCCATTGAGGAGATCCTCAGCTTCCAGCACTGTCGAAAGCTGGTCACGCTCAGGTTATGGCACAACCAGATCGCCTATGTCCCCGAACATGTGCGTAAGCTGCGGGTCCTTGAGCAGCTCTACCTCAGCCACAACAAGCTGGAGGCCCTGCCCACCCAGCTGGGCATGTGCTCTGGCCTCCGCCTGCTGGATGTCACCCACAACGGGCTGCACTCCATACCACCTGAGCTGGGTCTCCTCCAGAACCTGCAGCACCTGGCTCTCTCCTACAATGCCCTGGAGGCCCTGCCTGATGAGCTCTTCTTCTGCTCTAAGCTTCGGACGTTACTCCTGGGCTATAACCAACTGAGCCAGCTGTCTCCCCAGGTGGGGGCCCTCAGGGCCCTCAGCCGCCTGGAGCTCAAGGGCAACAGGTTGGAGGCGCTGCCAGAAGAACTGGGCAACTGTAAAGGGCTCAAGAAGGTGGGGCTCCTGGTGGAGGACATCCTTTATGAGGGTCTGCCGGCAGAGGTTCGAGAGAAGATGGAAGAAGAGTGAAGCCAGGGAGGGGCAGGTTAAAGTAGAGGTTTTTCGGACGCTTCCGTCCCAAAATCTCTACCAGTCTTCAAGGGAGGTGGCCAGGTGGGCCCAGGCCAGGAGAGGAGGAGCAGACATGTCAGTCTGTGGGGCCCAGGCAAGTTCCTGGGATTGGTTGATCTGAGGAGATGGGAGGCTGTGGATTCGGGTTAGAACAGCATGGAGAGATTAACTCAGTCCTAGGATTCTCAGACCAAAACCACATCTGTCTTTGGCTGGCAGGCCTGCCCCCAGTCCTGGGCCAGAACTGCTGCCCTGCCTCTGGACATTCTAGATCAGTGCTACAAAAGGGGGTGGGGACACACCCCAAAAGGATTTCAGTCCTCTTCCCCCACCAAAACAGCTTACATCTGGGGTTTTCTCCCAAGAAGGGGTCACCGACACAAGGGACAAGCACACACTGCCCTGACTTGATGTTAATCCCTTATATATAAATTGATTGCTATGGACACATGAACTCAGAAACAAGGTTCTCTTATTTGGCTATGCATCAAAATCAACATTCCCAGAAAACATCACAGGCCACACCCCTGAAAGACTGACTCAGGAGCTTTGACTGGAGGCCAGGAACTTGCCTGTAAATAAGCACTTCAGGTAATCCTGATGCATGTGGTCCTAGATCTGTATGTTGAGAAATGCTGACCTACAGAGGAGATATATGGATATTTAGAGTAGGGATTCTAAACCCTTTTTAGGTCCCCAGACCCTTTGAGAATCTGATGAAAGCTGCACACCTCCTTCCTCAGGAAAATGTTTGTGTACACATTCATGCACAATTTTGCAAACAATTTCAGGCAGTCAGTAAATCCCACAAGCTCTCCGAGGGCTATTCATGGATGTCCTAAGGATTGCAAACCCCAGGTTAAGAACACATGCTCTGGAGGGTACATTTTTTAAAGTAAACAATACTAATGATCAGACTATCATTCTGATTTCCTGTGTCCACCCCTGTTGTTGTCTAAGCCATTTCTAGATAGTCAGTGCTACAAAAGGGGATGGGGACCATTATAGGCAAGTGACCGCAGTGCCACAATAAAGGGTATGAGCCTCTGTCCTGGAGACCTCAGGTAATTAGGAGAAATTAGGTGGCATCTCCTGTTTAGCTTTTTTCCTGGAGAACCCCTTTTCTTATACCTTCCCTGTTATCCTCCTGACTCTATACTTTTAAAATGTTGTATTTATTGACTTGAGAGTGAGAAACACCGATTTGCTGTTTCATCCATTTATGCATTCATTGGTTGCTTCTGGTATGTGCCCTGACTGGCAATTGAACGGAAACCTTGGTGTATTAGGAAGATGCTCTAATCAACTGAGCCACCCTACCAGTGCTGACTCTATGCTTTTGTATCTGCTTCACCTGTAAGTCATCACCAGAGGGGTCTCCTCAGACTGACTAGGACGGCACTTGGCACAGCCTGCCTGACCCTGAACCCCTGGGCTTGACCACCTCCTAGGTGTCTGCAAAATGCAATTCTTGCCCGGCCGGGCGTGGCTCAGCAGTTAAGCATCGACCTGGGATCCAGGCGATCGTGGTTCGATTCCTGGTCAGGGCACATGCCCGGGGTTGTGGGCTCGATCAATGACTCTCTCACCATTGATGTTTCTATCTCTCTCTCTCCCTTTCCTTTCCTCTCACTGAAATCAATAAAGATATATAAAAAAAAAAAAAAAAAAAGCAATTCTCCTCTTGGCACCTAAGAACAAAGGCAAGCTGCTCTCCAGGGACCCAGGATTTCAGATGGGGACACTTTCCCAGCACCCTTTAAACCAATTAAAGGACTAGGCTGTAGGGACGCCAGGAAGAGGCACCTAACCCCAGGACCAATCTTCTGCATTGTACAGGAGCAGGGTTCACTCACATTCTGGGGGCAGGACAGATTGAGGGAAAGCCTTTTTTTTTTCTTTTTTTTTTAATCCTTACCTGAGGATATTTTTTTCATTGCTTTTCTGAGAGAGTAGAGGAGAGAGGGAGAGACACGTGGATGCCAGAGAGGCAAATACGCATGGATTGGTTGCCTCCCGCTCGTGCCCTGACGGAGGCCCGGGATCCAGCCTGCAACCGAGGTACATGCCCTTGACCAGAATCGAACCTGAGACCCTTCAGTCCACGGCTGACGCTCTAACCACTGAACAAAACTGGCCAGGACGGGGATCTTAAAATGTCCCAGACTTGTCTGACCTGGAACTCCAGCCTTGACTTTGGCCCCGTCGCCAAAGGCCAGGGATCACGCCGCTGGGTTCCCAGGGCCTCCACAGTGGCCCGAGACCTACCCGCCTCTTCTCCCTGCCCTTGGCCAACCCTGAGCTTGCTGAAATGGAAGGGTCTCCCTGCGGGTGCCTAATTATGATGAGGAGGCAGCAATAATGCATAACGGATCATAACGAAGCATGTCCGAAGTGAAAAAGGCGTTCTGACAGGGCCTGAGTGCCAGAAAGGGCCCAGCGAGAAACCGCGAAGAGAAGATGAGGGCGCAGTCATGGCGACTGCTTGTGACAGCGCCCGAGGAAAAAGCCAGTGTCTACAGAGCAGACACCACAGGCGAGACCTTGTCTCCCCTTCTGTACCCTTGCGCGTCGCTTTCCCCGCCCACGGCTCTCTGCAGAATGCGGAATGTGGTTTCCATACTACCCGGCTCACCAGAGCGCTCGGGAATTCGCGCAAAAGCAGTTCCGCGGGAGGTTTGCACGTTGCCAGCTGCGAGCTGTAGGTGGCGTCATCCCTTCGGCTGGGACGCCGCACGCAAGCGCAGAGGTTCGCACGAGGGACGGGCCAGTGCGCGCCGCGGGCATGCGCCGTGCGGGGCTAGACGGCGGCTCGGCGGGGTCACCCGGACGCAGGCGCAGTGCGGTGTT